GAAGGAAATAAGCTTTTTCTTTTGAAATCTATTTTCCACAACATTAAGTAGTGATCTGTATTTTTCACTCTATTAACCACACCTTTTAATCGTGCTTCCCAAGAACCCAGTTGGGTAAATTAGAGTGTCCTTATTAGGTGGGGGCAGTGGGGAAGCTCTGAAGCAACATTATTTAAAATACCATTCTTCACGACACAATATATTAACTTTAATATCAATAGGTACTATTTGTCACAGTATTAACTCCAGCCTTTCCTTGAAATGCCTTCACTATACCATGCTGTAAATATTAAGCTCTCAGTTCATGCTGGAAGATTGTTATATAAGCCAAAATATGACAACTACTTCACTTGCAATACAAATGTTGCTCTGTCCCTTGAACTATCATGTAACAGTGTTATCTACTTAATAATCCCTTTCAGAAAGTTGTTTTAAATATACTACTTGAGCATGTGGGAGGTTAGGGGAGGGAACTGTAGTGTTCTCTTCTTCCTGAGAGTAAAAATTCTATTCTTTCCCTCATTGATCTGGGTACTTGGAGGTGCAAGCCAAAAATAAGCTTAAATTATGGCAACTAAGAGGAATATCCAGTTTGAGCCCTAAATTTATACATCCATTTTGGTAATTTTATTATTATATGTTCGATTGTAAACCATCAAACCCTTTTTGAATGAGGCTTAGTAAAAGTTAAAAAACTATCTCAGTCCTAGAGTTTAACCATCAGCTTGGTATGGGATCAAGTAACATAGAATAAGCATAGATACATGGGTTAGCAAATGTTTTTTGTAAAGGGCCCAACAATAAATATTTAGGCTTTAAGAGCCATATAATCTCTGTTGTACTCAACTCTGAAATTGTAGAACAAAAGTAGCCAGACAGTACGAAAACCAGTGTGTCGCCATTTTCCAATAAAACTTTATCTACAAAAACAGGCACTGGGCCAGATTTGGCCAGTGGGCCATAGTCTGTCAACCCCTGGTAAGAAAATCAATATAATCTTTCACTTTTTATGTTTCTTCCAAAAACATCCCATGTAAAACCCCCAAGTAACAAAACAAGAACAGTTTGAAATCATGAGTGACTCCAACTCTGTAGCTTTTATAGCAAGTTGGTATTTGTTTTTCAGAGGACTATAAAAAGTCTCTTGAACCATGTAACTACCTGAATATTACCATAGGAATAGGCTAAGAAGTTGTAGAAAACATTTACTCTCTTTTTAGGCCACTGTACTAGTCCATATACTAAAGCACTGATTTACTAAATAGTACCTGGATACTAGGAAAGGGAATAATTGGTTGGTATTTCTATCTTTTCCTTTAGGGAATTATATGTTCTTACAAATGCAAGGACTTAAGATTAATTTTTCCAAACCAAGGGATTGAAGAACATAAAAGTATATGCTTTACATTCTGCTAAATTTTTGTAGGCATAAATCCATAAAGACAATTACTGTTGTCTTACTTACTATTCTCAAAATCTGCCTAAAGATGAAATGCTTACAAATACCACTACAGTTAAATCTTAAGTAATGCAATGGCATTTTAGCAGGAAGAGTTTTGTACCATTTTATTCCCTAAATTAACTCTAAAGATTGCTGTTCCTTGAAGGAATAGTTATCCCTTACGACCGTGCTCTCCAAAATGAGCTACACATCAGAATTACATGTCCATGTATAATATAAATTTCTGGGCCCCACTATAGACTACTAAATAAGAAAAATACTGGCTGGGTTTCTTTGTCTCCTCCCAGAACTCTGATGGGGTGGACAAAGTAAGTATATTCTCACCATCTACTACTGAGAAGTAAATATTATTACTGCCTTTAACAGATAAGAGAACTTAGGCTCAGAGAACTTAACTTGCTTAAGGTCATATACCCACAGCCCTATGGTCTTTCCCAATTAAGCCACCAACTTCTATTGTGTCATTAGAATGGAATTAACTAGGGAAATAACATAATGTCCATGATCTAATTTAGAACCCGAGACTGCTTACTTTTCTTTTTAACAAATGTTCACTGAAAAAGTACTACAAAAATTAAGTAAAATATAAAGCTCAAATGTTACTCTACAAATCATACTTAATAGTGGAATGTTATCTAGCTAGCTGGTGACCCTTTTATTTTTTCTAATTTTTATCTGCTGCTGGCTTTAAACATTTAAGAAAAAACAAAACAGAGTGAGGAACCCTAAGCTTTAAAGAGGCTGCTTGTGCTTGAAAAGATGGTACAGAAAGAGGTCAGCAGAGGTGACTGGGATCAAGTCAGGAGAGAAAGCAGGTGAATGGATAGGAAGAATAGGGAAAATACATTTCATATTTGTTTTCCTATGACCAAGAATGCATTTTATAAATGTGTCAAATCTGCACCTGGGTACTTAGTAACATTTGTGGAAGTATCTGTATTGTTTCTAATGTAATATTTTCAAATTTCAGATTAGCAAACAGCAGAAACTACAGTAGCAAAATGAAAAATAGGTGGGTAGGTATCCAGATCATTCTCAATTGTTTCTACTTCCCCTAAGCTTCTCAACATGGGGAAATTAAGTTTAAATGTGCCAATATAGCATCGTAATTTCTGCTGTTGTACATGTGGTAAAATAAGCATAAAGTGACTATGTAAAACTAAAGCAAAAGAAATCTTACAAGAATCAAATTTCTAGAAAACACTTCTTGTAGTAGGTCCCATAATTCAAACAGAATTTGTAGATAATATTTGTGGCCCTGGAAAATAAGCTGCAAAAAAAAAAAGTGGTTTTTTTTTCTTCTGTATTTTAGATAATCAAGGAAATGTTAGATTACAGTCACAGAACTTTTTTATTTCAGGTATTCAACGTACATTGCTCTCATAGTGAAAACTGCAAAATCAAATGAAAAACCCAGAATCGATTTTCTGTACTTGTGAAATTACTATTCTTTCTTAGGCCTATCCAGGAATAATATTACACAGAGTAAAAGAAATCCAAGAAAGAGTTAGAAAGTAGATGTTTTCAAAAACCGAGGGAATGTGAGGAAAGGCAGCCAAATCAGCATTTACGCTGACAAATTATGGTGATGCCATCTGTTAACTTGTGCTACTGGGCCCAGCAGCTCCTTTGGCTGCCAGATTCTACAGCCTTCAGGCTGTCTGCACTTTCTTGATATTTGGAAGCTGAAAAGTAATCCTTCTTTTTCTTGTAAAACTGACCTAAGGACATCCAGGGAGAGAGGACACATATTCCTTCTGTTTTGCAACTGGAGAAAATTGAAAACTGAAATTGAATAGATGTTGGAATGCACAGATAATCCATGTTGAGCACATACACAGTCAGTATCAGCACCCAGGAGGCAGAGGAATATAGAAATTTCAGACAATAGTGGTGTGTTATCAGGGCCAATGCTTTGCATGACTCCAGAAGCACAGCTCACGTGGCATGCAGGCGGTGGTTATACAATCATCTGGTTTAGGCTAAAATATTTTGTGGCATGAGAGGGAGACTAAATGTTTTATATCTTTCCTTAACACTGACAGCTGTTCTGATAAATGGTTTCCTGACAATGCAATTTATGGATGGTCCAGAATTTTAGGTTGGTCCTTCTTAATAGAAACAACTCAATAAGGTTTATAAAGTATGTTTCCAGCCCTCTTTGATATTCCTGGGCTTTGATCTTCCCTTTTGTTTTTCATTTGCTTCCAGCAGCCCAGTGTTCTAGATTTCAATATTATTCTTAGGGGAACAGGGACCAGCTAAAGTAGACCTTTTTGGACTCTACTCCCTGGGAGCTACGCTAGCTCAGTAGCTTACAACTTCACTGCCCATGTAGTAAAAGGTGACCAAAGCTGAATGCCCCCCTCCCCATCCTCTTTCACGCACCCGCATAAAGCAGCTTGTTAAAGAGCACGAGGGCACCTACCTGAAGAAGTGCTATGAGGAGGGCAAGACTGTTTCAATTTAAGTCAAAAATGAAAATTATTCTCTCCCAAAGGAAACCACCACTGAGATTAGTAGTTGAGATGCAAATTGCTTTTCCTCCCCTCCCTTTTGATAAATCAGAAATCAGATATATTGTGTCATCACAAAGAGAAAAATCTGATTGGCTCATGCTAAATAGCTGTGGCACATCCTCATGGCTCTTACAATCATAGCACAGTGCAGGATAATGGACCAGAGGAGCATATGGTCAACAAGGTGGTGAACAGGAGGAGCACAGAAGTGAGGGCTGGAACACAGGGCTCAAATCCTGCCCTTCCTTCAAGCCAGGTTGAACATACAGGGCGCATTGCTTCACTAAATTGCCTCGGTTTCCTCTTCCTGAATACTGTGAGTGGGTGGGGGGGATTAATATTTCTTAATTTTAGGGTACTTAGGGGGCCACAATGAGGATTAAATGAGATCAAGAATGCAGAATACAACATGGTATCTGTTACATGGTTAGTTGCTCATAAATGTTAGCTGTTATTGTTACTGCCTGTTTTGACCCTCATCATCTAGTCAACTTTCTTCTCAAATAACTTCTTTAAAAACTTGTCTTCTATTTTTCACTTCAACTAGTAGAAATAAGAGGACTTGACTAGTAATGGTGTGTGTAATAAATATTCACACTTGTCTCGCATTTTAGAGTTAATCTGTGAATCACATTTAAGCTGGCTTCTCGCAAGAATTTCCAGCATGTTCTACTTGCAGTCAGATGAAGTGGCAATTTTCTTAAAATATGGAGCAGTTTGGTGTTGGGCAGAACATGTATTCAGGCTCATAAACATAAACATTTTTTATGTAGCATTTAAACATGAACTATGCAACTCTAAAATGCTACAAAAATGTAAACAAAATAATTTCAGGAATAAAGAAATGGAGCTAAAGGAAAATTGAGAGGACGTAGAAAAGGAGCCAAGTTTTCTATGATGCAAAAAAGTTGAGCATGGGTAAAAATTTGTTTCTGTGAATATTTTTTAGAGGAAGATAAAAGCATGTTCTAGAAATTAACATTCCATGTCAAGCAAGTTTGGTAATTACATAGTCTGACCTTTTTCTAGAAGCCCCAGTCCAAGGCTATCACTGAGCCTTTCTTCAGTGATGACCACTGTGAAGTGGTGTTGTGTGAGAATGCGCTGGTAGAGCTTCAGCTCCATTCTGCTGTAGGAAGCAGGCCTGCAGAGTATGGCCCTTCTGCCACGGCTGCCAAAGTGTGTCTCAATGGATTCTTCCATCTGAAAAAGAGAGAAGGCATAAAAATTCAAGAGGAAAAAGTAGCACATCATTAATGCAAATCAAGGTCCATTCAGAAAGTCACCCTTTAACTTGTTCTATAGAATTGAAAGATACTCTCTAAAAGGCTGACAAGGACAAAGGTGACCTCATATGCAAGAATCGAAGGTGAAATGAATTTTTCCCCACTATTAGGGAAAGATGAAAATTTTAGGCCATTAAAATATAGAGCTCCTAGAGGAATACTGCTGCATAGAAATTCAGAGCTCAACTGTAGCTGAAAATATAAATTAACAGCAATGACTTTCACCTGCATTGTGCTTTTATAAGGTAGTTTCAGCTACATTATCTTTAAACAGTTCTTTTAGGCAAACAGTGGAGGAAACAGACTCAGAGAGGACAGGTTTTGTGCCAGGACATGTTCAGGACGGGCCAGCACTGAGAAGCAATCTCAGAGCTTTTTGGGCATTCAGTGCTGCTGTTTCTCTCATTAGGACGCAGCAATTTGAGTGCATGTCACTGAGGCTGGGTGGATCTCTGTGAGAAGAGGAGGGCAACTGAAGTGTCATAATTTTAGGTTCTTTCAGTAGCTTGTTGCTCCTCCAAATAAACCTCTTTGTCATGACATTTGAAATTTCACTGGCAAAAAGGAATTTTTTAACCAAGTAGAAGGAATGCTGACATTGAATCCATTTAAAGTTTAATGGCAGATATTGGATGTTTTCCTCACAACTTGAGAGTAAACAATGATAAAGTAGGCTTTTTTTATTATCGGAAGGAGCCATGAGATTGGATAGGGGGTGTGACAAACAATGGCAGAGGCCAAAGAAGAGGAGACAAAGGAGTTGAAGGAGGAAGATGAAGTGGAAGAGGCAAAAAAAAAAAAAAAAAAAAAAATTGGGCAGCTCTGAATCAAACTGTCCACTTTACAGATCTAAAACACAACATGTAATGTGTCTTCCCACTACTTAAAATTTCTTCATTATTTTTCATTAATGATAGAATCAATTCCACATCTTCAACAAGGAATACAAAGCCATTCAGATTTAGACCCTATCTTCCTTCTCTGGTTATATCCTCTTAACCTCTTAACTTCCTCTAGAGTAGGTGTATGGTGACGAGGAAGTATGTGTGTGGTAACAGACTGGGCCTTCTACCTGTAATTCTTTCCTCTCTCTCCATTCATCCACACTAGCAAACTCCAGATCAAACATTACCTCTTTTGGAAAGTTTTAATTGGAATACATCCTTCCCTTTGAATTTATGAAAGGAAATGTGCATCTCTCCCTGATGTGAGATCTTTAACTGGTAGCCTGCATGGCCCGTGTGTCTTCAGTACACATAGTATGTGCTTAAGAGATGAAAGTATCTAGCATATTAATGAATTACAGTACTCTATCAAGATCTTTGAAGATATGAATGGAAAGAAAGAAGAAACAGATTTAGATTGTAAACCCTTTGAGGGAAGGAACCATATCCTAGTTTTCATTGTATATACAAGTTATCACTATCTGTGAATGAATAAACAAAACATAGTGTAGTGTAGGAGGATATAAACCCTGGAGCCAGACCACTGGGTTTGAATCCCATCACCCCCAGCTATTTGTGTGACCTTGGATAATACCTTCCTTCTAAGGATGCTGGGAGGATTAAAGAGTTAATATTTGTAAAGGGCTTAGAACTGTGCCTGGCATATAAGAAGCACTACATATGTATTTTCAAAATAATAATATATCATAAAAAGCAAAGGGCAAAACTGTTTCTGCTTCTGAGCTTTGCCTGGTACATGCTAATATAGGTGCCCAATAAACATGTGATGAATATAATGGAAAAGAATAGAACACTAGCCAATCACAACTTCTATGCAAATCATGACGATTCAATATTTTCCCCAGTTAAAGGATACTGCATTTTACTAATAATGAAATTATTCGAACTCAAGAATTTAACTGCAAATTGGGACATGATTCCCAAGCAAATGTTGCAATTGGTTGCAATGATAAACTTACAAGAAGGAATATTTGAAATCAAACACAGGTTACGCCTTTGGACCCAGGAGTTAGAGGGAACCAGTAATGCACAGGAGGCCAAAATAAACAAACATGCGTCTAGGTGAAAGGGGAAGACAGATGTTTCTAAATATATCGATGTCACTCAAGCAAAATGCACAGTGCCCAGAATTCCCTTCTCATATTATTTTCTTTCATAATCACAGGATGCTCCACTCCATTACAGCTGGCTCAAGAATGGCAGTGATTGCACAAGAGGAGAGTATATTTTCAAACTTTAAGTTATTATTATTTTGAAAGATGCCATCCCTCCCTTCACCCCAACCAGGATCAGTTTAAGCAAGAGCTTACTTACCAATGTAGCACTTACCAATATATCTTATATAGACATACTCTAAATAAAGTATAATCACCGGCTATATTTCACAATAGCCTTTATAACATAGATAGAAATTTTAACTCACATATCAGACTACAGAGAATAAATAGGAAGTGAGTTTATCAGTTCAATTATGCTGCATTATCCGGAAATATAAACTGTTCCTGTCCTTGTAATATTTATAACACACTGTATCAGCAGAATGGCCCAATACCAAGGGGCAAGGACAGTTTTAGCTGGTCTAACAACAGGTGCACACACTGCGTATGTGAAATAAAAACTAAGTGAACAATTAAGTTAGCCGTACCAGCACATGCAGGATTATTCAAAGGCAAAGCAGCAGTTTTGGAAATGAGAGCTCCTGATTACTCCTACAATTTGGGAAATACATTTTTAGTGGAAGAATATATTCAACCTGGCCACCACTATAACAACTGAGCTTTATACTTGCAAGCCTGTTGAGGAGAATTCAGAAAAGAATGAGTGTTTCTGGATGGTAACACCGAATCACTTCCCTCTCTCCCTTCCTCTTGAGAGATCTGCAAGCAAGTCCTTGAAAAATCACTTTGCTAGACTATAAGAAAGTTATTTTTAAACTGAACACTTATTTTTAATGAAAGGACTTCAAAACCTGAAACCTGTATACAACGTGAGATAAAGCAAAGGATAGAGCATTGGAATAAACTCCTGGGAGTGGTGGATGCAGCGGTGCAGCATAAGAATGGAGGAAGACTAGGAATCAAACATTCGGCTTTGAATTCTGGCTCTGCAACTTGCTTGCTTCATCTATTGGGGAGATTATTTAATCTCTCGATATCAGAGTTTCCTCATATGTATAACTGAAGTAACAAGTCCTACCTCCTTAGGTTGTAAAGGGAAAAAATCTTCTAGATGCAAGTGTCCAATACAGTGTCTCACCAATAAATGACTTTAACTATACATGAATAAAATTGAGTAACAATCATATTATATTGTAACTGTGCTTTTACATGAATTCTATATGCTTTTCAATTAATATGGCTTAGTCTTTGTCATAAAAAGCATTTCTACAATAATCTATATGCTTCTATTATACCCTGGTATGTTTTTCTCTGAACTCATCACCTTTAAATGCAAAAATATAATATATGTATTATGTTTATTTCCTGTCTCTTTACGTCATAAAAGAAAGTAAATAAAAAGCATGCATTTCTGTGTTTTGTTCACATTTGTTTCCTTAGCCTAAGAATAGTACTTGGCACAGAATGGGTACATAATAAATATTCTTTAAATGAATGGATAAATACAAACATCTTTTTTTTCAGTCTGTAAAGGTTTTGTTATAAATACTACCATGGAATATTGGGAAAGAAAGTGGAGAAAATTTGTATTAGGAAACTTATTTCAGTAGAATTTGAATAGTAGCAAGAATGAGAAAAGGATAGTTAAATATTTGAGCAAAATAATGAATGTATACTGAAAAATGTGAATGAAGAGTTATATTATAAAAGTACTATATTTCTTAGTTACTTGCACTCTTAAAAAAGTCTTCATCAAGACTTACCACAAAAACAAGAAATATAACTCTTCAAAATAGAGTAGGGATGAAAAATACAACTTGTTTTTTTCTACAAGATTTTTTTCTGGATTTATTAAAGTATCTGTGTATTTATAACATCTTTTGATGCTCAAATACAAATCATACAGTAGACCTCGGATGCGTCTCACATATAATGAAAGGTCATATTGTCTTGCTGATCTGAATTTCTGGCATTCTAGAAATATTGCAGAATCTATCATAGTGAATTATGCTTTCATTTTTCTACTATAAGAATAAAAGATTTTTTTCCAGTGAAATGTACACTTATTTTAGAGAATTCAATAAAAAAAATGGATGTAGTTTGCTAAGATGCATATCCTACACATTTTCTACTTAGAACTTATTGATAATTGCAGGATAGTCGAGGGGCTGGCAAGTTCCCTGGATATGCAAGCAGAGCCTCGTCAGAATGTTTCCTACATAAACGAACCTTTAGTGAACCTCTGCTTTTTTCCCACAGCGACTCAGCTGAATCTCGATCCCACCATGGAATGAGCCCACATCTCTCAGAACTAGTCTGGGACACTTAGCACGTTCTGACTGTACTCCCAAACTGTACCCTGGGGCTATTTCCACACTCAACATCCAATGAAAGGCAAGTTTGCTCATCTGTGGCTCTATGTAAGTTCTAAACAAATAATAGAGACCAAAAGCAATGATGTTTTAATATAAAAAAAATGTACCTGCAATATAGTTCTGATGAAATGGCACCCACTAGAATAGCCATTGCCAAAACCCTATCACCACCTATTACTCAATCTAATTTTCCTTTTGGCACTCTTTGTGATTTATAGTTACATATTATTTTTTAATGTCTGCCTCTCCTACAAGTCTGTATGCTTCATGAGGGCCTAGACTTGCCTGTTTTGGTCACTACTGTACACACAGCTTACTGCCAGTTCTAAGTAAGAGGTAGGAATGAATGAATGAGCAAACAAATGACTGCATGAACACAAAGTGTTAAGTTCAGCATTTGTAAACACACACAAGCCCTTTCATTATTTTACTAGATTTGCCAGAACAGAGGACCTATAA